ACAATTCCTATCACTATACACCAGTATATGAACGAGAAAATATTCTTTCCAATAAATCCTTATTATCATTTAAAAGTATCAATTCAATTGAATGTTCTAAATAGAATATTCAAGTTAATTGACTTCATGTTTCGTAAGAGAATGAATAACACAAAGATAGAGGTTATTATGACTGATGCTTATGTCATCAAAACATTTAATTATACACAGATTTAAAGCAATTAGTTCCTTTGATCAATTTCGATAGTGTCATAAGAAGACGAAGATTATCAGAACTATGTGATGATATGTTAGCGTAATACATTTCGAGCAATCTGATCACACACACATAGGAAGGAGTAATCATGATCTCAAAATTAAGTTATGTGAACATGTACTAAACTGGTTATAGAAACAAATACAATCAAGTGACCCAATATGAGTAGAGGATAAATATCCATCATCCTCTATTCCTAAATATATAATTGAAATAGGTCATAAGATTGATCTTAACTCGGTTTTTGTGGTGTTGTATAGAAGTGTATAAAAGTGGTATATACTAAGGTTTTATTGAAGCCTTAGCCATACGAAAATTCAAACCCGCTTTATGCATTCAAAAACAGTTTGTTCTTACCTTAAACCTACCTTGGTAATATTGACTTATTATCCAGAGTGATTAGGTTACAAATTGTGTTCACATTATCCTTGTCTCATCTTACCACATTTCCAGTCTAGTTGACCTTTTAATTTTATATATAAATGTTCTTAACAAGTTTATGTGGGATCAGATTGTTCGAAATGTATTACGCTAATATATAATCATCACATAGTTCTGATAATCTTCGTCTTCTTATTACATTATGGAAATTTATCGAAAGCACTAATTGCTTCCAGGTTTTCAATTGTGATCAAGCATCACTCGGTTCATGATCGTGATCAAAAAATAAAAACAATGTCCACAACCCCTAAACTGTTAAAATTTATTATTGAATAAATGATTGTTAATTAGAGGTTAAGTAATTGTGCATAAGAGATCGATAAGTTTTGGATTCGATTCTCGAGAGGTGAGTGCTTTCAGATTTTCTATAGTAGTTTAGCTTCAGTTAACTCATGATTTTAACTATTAAGATGATCAATTACTTCAATAGATATCATGATGTATAAGGAAGGAGTTTCTCTACTGAGACATTGTAAATATATACGCACACACACATACACGAGTGTCTGGCATAACGTTGTGTATTACGGATTGATATATGCTAATAGAATTAGTGATATGTCAAACGTTTTGCCCAGAAACACTAAGTTGGTTGACAAGTGAAGTTGATGAGATTATAATGAGATTAAGGATAATAGATCTTAGAATTTGTTACGAAATTCATTTAACCATTTAGCTGATGTTAGTCCATGATGAAAACCATAAAACTAATTCCTCATGTTAATCCATCAACTATGAACATTTTCAAGGTTACTACTTTTTGTCTCACTCATAGATTGTCTATAAATTGTAGTCTTACTATGAAGTCGTAAATATTGTGTCGCATAATGGTAACATCTTAAGCTATGAAACTAAGTAATATGAAATAGAATTGATCAAGGAAAAACAAACCCTTCATTATTACAAGGATATCTTGATGATAACTACCAAGTTACATTGGATCTAGGTCTAGAGATTTCGATCAACTAACTCATATATATAAATATATCAGAAGGGGTTTTTGTGGATATTATAGCAATTTCAATGGTTGAGATCATGAGTCAATTGAATCTAGACCACGATGCTTCCAGGTTATCCGTGGTGGTCTGCCGTTTATTGTTTCATGATTTCAACTACTGTAAGTTTCAATGAGGACAATGAACACTACAAAAGTTAATATTAAGCTTTAACAAACATTGAGCATTTCTAGCCCCTTAAATGATCAAACATCTATGATTTTAGAGTGTTTGTTGTTATTGTTGATTGCTTAATCAATCTGACTGATCAATGATGAAACAACTATATTGTGTAGTTCTAAAGAAAAATGTCATCAAGAGGTAATTGATGAGTTTAACATCAAACATAAAATCTTGATTACAATTAGGGTTATATTGAATATTTCAAATAATAAATAATAAACATGATAATTATTATCAGAATGGGTTTTGTGGAGATTTTTAGAAATTTCACTAGTTGAAATCATGAGTCAATTGAAGCTAGACCATCATGGAAAACCTGAAAGCACTAGACGGCCGTTACATCCTAGTATGGGATGTGCACTGCTGAGGAGTTCCATACTAGGACGAAACGGCCGTTCAGTGCTTCCAGATTTTCCATGGTGATCTAGCTTCAATTGACTCATGATTTCAACCAGTAAAACATGATAATACAAAGATAACAAACTTACCTAATGTAACTATAGGATTTTCGCATTGTAACCATGTTACTAGCGATCTCATAGCTAATAGAAAATAGAATAAGAACAATTTAGCTTTAAACTTAATCTATTACTAAATGTTCAAATAACCATTCGATTAATATAAAAGAATTCTAATCATTAAAAGAAATGCACGAACATATTGACCAGTATTGTATGTCTTCTATGAAATGAATAAAAAAATTATGAATCATACTTATATAATAGGATAGTAATGTTCTTCAATTGGAAGATTACATACAACATGAATAGTCTATAGACATATCACAGTATATTGACATAATAGACGTTTTAGTAACAACAGTTTGATTGGTTAGTTACTAGATAGAATTAACACCAACTCTATGGGAGTAAAAGAACAATGAAATTACGACTATTTAAATCAATGATGGTTTGTAAAGTTAAAAAAAAAGGAAAACGTTTTACATAAGAAAACAGTTCATAGTCAATATTATTTAACAATGTGTAAGCTTTTATAGTTAATAATCATTATCATATGTATGTACATATATATATTTTGATTGAGATCATGAACCAGTTGATGGTAGACCATTATTGAATACCTGAAACCACTGGACGGCCGTTCTTTGTCCTATTGTCAGCAGTGCGCATCTACGATCGCGCTCGCGGGATTCGGACCCAGGGATTTTAGTCTTACACGCGAACACTCAACCTCTAGACCACTAAGCTGACATTCAATGGTGTTAATATCTAATATCAACCAATCCACGAAATTACGCGACCATCTTCCATTGTACTGAGGTGGATCATTGTCTATACCTGATATGAATTAGCTCCACCGATCATCGCTTCTCACTAGAATTCCCTCATAAATCTAGCCACTAGTCAGCACATGATCTCAATCAAAAACGTAATAATCTCCACAACCTCACACTGATAATTGTCATATTCGTTAAATAAGTCAACAGTGATACCTTTTGGAAACAATTAAAAATCCTTTTTGAATTTTACGGCTTATATCAAGAATCAGCCCTAGTTACAAAACCGTTGGAAACTAGTAAGCACTTGATAGTTATTATTTTCAACCACAAATTGAAGTTAAAATTATAAACCATTGAACGTCAACTCAGTAGTTTGAAGGTTAAGTCTTCTAGAAGTTACCTAAATTTCCTAGATCCGTTACTTGACAATTTCGTGTGCATATACCAACGGGAAAAGCCATCCTAGAATGAGAAATATTTCCCAGTGTTTCCTAGTTTTTAATGAATGTTTAACAAAGATCATTTTTTGATATGTACTGGTCAAGATTTGATCATTCACGGAAACTTCATACATTAATACTTACTCACCTACTTACGCCTGTTACTCCCAGTGGAGCATAGGCCGTCGGCCAGCATTCTACAACCCATTCTGTCCAGGGCCTTCCTTTCTAGTTCTATTCAATTTTTGTTCATTCTTCTCGTGCCTGTCTCTATTTCTTGGTGTAATGTGTTATTTGGTCTTCCTCTTTTATTTTGGCCTTGAGGATTCCAAGGGAATGCCTTGGGATGTAGTTGGGCGCTTTCCTCAATGTGTGTCCGATCCACTTCCCCATTTCTTCCTCTGATGAGATCTGGTTTGTTCTCTCCCATAGTAGGTTGTTGCCGATGGTGTCCGGCCAATGGATCCGAAGTATTTTGCCTAGACAAATGTTAATAAACAATTTTATCTTTTGGATGATGACTTTCGTGATTCTCCATGTTTCCGCCCCCATACAGTAGAACTGTCTTGACATTTGTATTGAAAATTCTAACTTTGGTGTTGGTTGACAATTGTTTTGACTTACAGATGTTCTTCAGTTGTGAATATGCTGCTATTGTTTTGCTGATCTGCGCCTTCACATCTGCATCAGATCCACCGTGTTCATCAAATCTTCTCCCTCAATTGTGATTTGATTGGTGCATGTTGTTCTGTATCGAAGAATCTTACTTTTCTCTTTGTGTATGTTGAAACCTACTGCTGTTGAGGCTACTGCTTTACTTGTCGTCTTCTAGTGCATTTGTTGTTGCGTGTGCGATAGAAGAGCCAAATCATCTGCAAAGTTTAGATCGTCCAGCTGCATCCTAGCTCTCCACTGTATCCCATGCTTCCCCTCAGATGGTGACGTCTTCATAATCCAGTCGATCACTAGGAGAAAGAGAATGGTTGAGAGTAAGCAACCTTGCCTGACACCAGTCTTTACTTCGAATGAGTCTGTGAGCTGTCCTCTATGCACGATTTTCCAGTTTAATCCATCATAAGAATTCCGAATGACGTTGACTATTTTATCGGGGACGCCGTAGTGTCGAAGAAGCTTCCATAGTATTGTCCTATCCATGCTATCATATACTCCCTCCTAGTTAATAAAGTTAATATAGAGTGATGACTTTCATTCGATTGATTGCTCCACATTTATCCGTACTGTTTCATACGTTAATAATAGTAATTTAATTGTATTATTTGTTGGACATCATACTCTTGTTAATAATCTGATTATTTGCATATTTTCATTATCTTTGTATTATAGAATCATTCTGAACAAGTAAATTCATAAGAATAATGATGATTTGGAATAAATCTATTTGGATTAAAATTATATTGGTTTATGCAATCTATTTCCAGATTTCCATGTACCAAGTAAAATCCGATAGCACAACGGTAGCAGGTAATCTCCGATTTCTTCTTATATAATAAAGTAGTGAATGAAATAAATGATAGTAATCAATTTATATTTAATTTGTTGATAAGGTACTTTCATAGAAATGATTCAGTAATTCAACATGTTGTATTCAAAGCCAGTTCCAACATATAACTCTTGAAGTTTTTGATAAGAAGTCATGACAAGTGGAGTTAAATCTGTGTTAAATGTGAGAAAGCTATCCCTCATAGATAATGGAAGAAAGGTTTCACAATATCACGAATTGATTTCAGTTAAACATTGTTAACTTTAGATGTTGGCTTAATGGTCAAAAGGTTAAGCGTTCACTGACAAGACTGAGGGTTTAAATTTCGAGTCCTTCATCCATGACCTCCCCTCAAGTTTCTCAATAGTTGTTTAGCCTAGATCAGATAGTGATTTGAACTGTGAATATAACAGTTTACCAACTTTACAAGTTGTTTCTTAACACCGTCGACTGTTATTATCGCATGGATACCGTGATAGTTGGAACTTTTAAGGCTATCTTAAGAACGGTTGTAGTTTATATTTTTATGATAAAATTATTAAACTGATAAACTGTTTTACTTCCATATTCTCCTTGTTGTAAGGTTATGTTGGACCCATTAACTATTGCTATGATTTGGTGGAATATAATGATTGGAGCCTGCCTGTTACTGTGTTCTCTTGTCCGATTGAGAATGAGAAGAACAAATCATATGTTTAGCAGACCAATAGAAATGTAGTTTATCTTGTCATTGCCAATGGTTAACTAGAGTCAGTCAGATGTGTACTTTACACTAGTGAATAGAATATATTTGGTACTTTGAATCAAAATTTGATATTATAATCACCAAATGTATTCTTCGGAATAAGAATCAAGTTAGTTTGCTTTCATATACTCACGAATACTATTCGTTGCTACGAAACACTACCATATTTAAACCCGAAGATGTCATCGGCGTTATTATGCACTTACTGGTAAATGACGTTCACAAACAGAAGTATAAAAATGTGAGCATTGACTTACTGGAATTAGGATTTTGGTTAAGAAAGAATTCATAGTAATAACATTCCGAATGAAGGGATATGTGAATATTCACATCGGCAGAGTCACAACTTATTATTTGCCATTCTTCAAAGCTATTAGTTTGAAGATCAGTTTACTTCTATGATGGTTTATCTTCAATTGACACATGAATTCAACTATTAAATTACTAAATTATCCAGAAAACCCCCCTCCTAATATTCTCACTAGTGACTGCCCCCAACAGGTATTTACTGGAGTTCTATTGAGAGGGCGTGATCAGTGGATTTCATCCGTGTCTGTTGTGAGATAGTAACTCACTGAGGTCAATGGTGGACGGTGGCGCAATTTCGTGAATTGATTGAAGTTAGACATTAACATCGTTGGTTGACTGCTGAGTGGTTTAGAGTTTCAGCCTTCGCTGCGTGAGACCGATAGTTACTGGTTTCGAATCTGATGAAGCGCGATCGTGGATGTGCATTACTGAGGAGTCCCATACTAGGACGAGACTGGCCGTCCAGTGTTTTCAAGTTATCCATGGTGGTCTAGCTTCAAATGACTCATGAATCCAATTATTGAATATATATATGTTGTGTTCTCAAGTTATTCAACTGATTCTCTTATCATATAAGATGAAAATTTTGGATTGACTGTTAATATAATTTCGAAGTCAATATGGTTTAAATTATCTATCCAGAATATAGAATACAAATATTCCAGTCTATAAAATTACCTCTAACCTACTTCAAGGAGTTGCGAAGTAATTTTGAATTTTATTTTATACTACCTGTAAAATTTATCATTAGCCATACTACTGCCTGTTTCGTCTTTCCAACATATTCTCGAACTCGCAGGTTCATCATTTCTAGTAAGAGCTGTCATATATACAGATCTTAATGGAACATACTATCCATGGAAATCGGAATTACAAGATGTTCTTTCAGCTGATTACATAACATTGGCTAGCAGTGTCTGCAATCTCGTAAGTTTAATTCATTATATTTCTAAACAGGAAATTAAAACATGTGTTTACTTCATAAATTGTAGTTTGGATGAAGTATTCAGTGTTTTGAATCGACCAATTAAGATTCATTTTGGATGTTGTATTGTTCATAATCACTGAGTATATCGCATTGGAATATTGGTTAATGACATATTAAATACATTTACATAGAATCTGATGTTAATTTTATTATTTAACTGAACTCTTTTAGAAAGTAATCAGATGCTGTTCTGCAGCCATAAATGTCCACATTCTTAGTTAAAGAGTAATGAATTGCACGTCCAAACAAGAGATTTCAACAATGACATGATCAATTACTTTTACTAAACTATCTAGATTAATTTTGCTCAACTAGTTAACTCAAACATTTTAGCAAATGCGTCTACCTCCAATGTAATTATAAGTCATAACATTACTTACTTACTTACTTACGCCTGTTACTCCCAATGGAGCATAGGCCGCCGACCAGCATTCTCCAACCCACTCTGTCCTGGGCCTTCTTTTCTAGTTCAATCCAATTCTTGTTCATTTTTCTCATGTCTCTCTCCATTTCTCGGCGTAATGTGTTCTTTCATCTTCCTCTTTTCCTTTGACCTTCAGGATTCCATGTGAGGGCTTGTCTTGTGACGCAGTTGAGTGCTTTCCTCAATGTGTGTCCTATCCACTTCCAGCGCTTCTTTCTGATTTCTTCCTCCACTGGTCTGTTCTCTCCCACAGTACGTTGTTGCTAATGGTGTCCGGCCAATGGATCCGAAGTATTTTGCGTAGACAATTGTTAATAAACACCTGCATTTTCTGGATGATGGCTTTCGTAGTTCTCCAGGTTTCTGCCCCATATAGTAGAACTGTCTTGACATTTGTATTGAAAATCCTGACCTTGGTGTTGGTTGACAGTTGCTTTGAGTTCCAGATGTTCCTTAGTTGTAAATATGCTGCTCTTGCTTTGCCGATCCGCGCCTTTACATCTGCATCAGATCCACCCTGTTCATCAATGATGCTGCCCAAATACGTAAAGGTTTTTACATCTTCCAAATCTTCTCCGTCAATTGTGATTGGATTGGTGCATTCTGTGTTGTATCGGAGAATCCTGCTTTTCCCCTTGTGTATATTGAGACCTACTGTTGCTGAGGCTGCTGCCACACTGTTCGTCTTCTCCTGCATCTGTTGTTGCGTTTGGGATAGAAGGGCCAGATCATCTGCGAAGTCTAGATCATCCAACTGCATCTTAGATGTCCATTGTATCCCGCGTTTCCCTTCAGACGTTGACGTCTTCATGATCCAGTCGATCACCAGGAGAAAGAGAAAGGGTGAGAGTAAGCAACCTTGCCTAACACCGGTCTTCACTTCGAACGACTTTGTCAACTGTCCTTCATGCACAATTTTGCAGTTCAATCCATCATATGAGTTCTGTATGATATTGACTATCTTCTCAGGCACGCCGTAGTGTCGAAGAAGTTTCCATAGTGTTGTTCTGTCCACGCTATCAAATGCCTTTTCGTAGTCAATGAAGTTGATGTGGAGTGATGAATTCCATTCAATTGATTGTTCCACAATGATCCGTATAGTTGCGATTTGGTCTGTACATGATCTATCCTTACGGAACCCTGCCTGTTGGTCACGAATTTGGGCGTCTACGTAGTCCTTCATCCTGTTTAACAATACCCTGTTGAAGACTTTTCCCGGTTTTGAGAGAAGAGTGATGCCTCTGTAGTTATCACAGTTGCCGAGATCGCCTTTCTTCGGTATTTTGATCAGAAGTCCTTCTTTCCAGTCTTTTGGTTCTTGTTCATCATCCCAAATCTTATTGAAGAGAATGTGGAGTATCCTTGCAGTTGCCGCTACGTCTGCTTTTAGTGCCTCTGCTGGGATGTTGTCCGGTCCTGCTGCTTTGCCACTCTTGATTTGTCTGATGGCCATGCTGATTTCTTCAATTGTTGGTGAGCCAACATTGATTCGGAGGTCCGTGGGTCCTGCTTCGATGTTGGGTGGGTTCAGTGGAGCTGGTCGATTCAACAGTTCTTTGAACTGTTCTACCCACCTGTTTGGTTGCTCTTCAATGTTGGTGATTACCTCGCCTTCCTTGCTTTTGACTGGTCGTTCTGGTTTGCGGCGATTTCCAGAGAGTTTCTTTGTCGTGTCATACAATTGTCTCATGTTTCCTTAAATCATAACGTTAAGGTATATGTATATCTCACTATCAGTATGCGGTTATGGAGATTGTTTAGTTTAATTGAAATCACAAACTGGTCTACGTTAGATAACGACGGTCGTTTCGTCCGATGTTGAGACCTCTCACGAACACTTCAAACAACACCAAAGCCGGGAATCTAGACCACGGCCTTCCGTCTTTCACGCAAACACTTCGCCTATAGACAACTGATCAGAGATCTAATAGTTGTCCAACTTATATAATTCCATTAATTCAATGAAATCTACCGATCTCTGAAACTTCATACTGATAGTTATCATATGCTCATTAGTGACTGTCTTCGAGAGGAAATTTCCGTAGTTCTAATACAAACTCTATCATTTCTAGATCTCATTATTCTACAGTTCTAGTCTTGAAATTATCGGATAGCTGGTGTATTTCGATAGTTATGCGAGTAATAGTGATAACGTGGAAAGTGAACCCAATGTACGTAAAGTGAAAGCCAGAGTAGCCTATACCAATCATTGTTATCTGTTACACAATCATTACTTTAATCCAACTGTTGATAGTTACTTTATAAAAGGCATGAATGCAAGCATTACTAATCTATGCTTATGAAACATAATATGAACAAACTAGAAATTTGAGAAGCTGTAGATTACAAATAATTGGCTCATACAAACTTCTAATTGTAGTTACATAAATCCCCAATATTGGCCAGTTACAAATTAAAATAATAAACATTCTTCTTTCTTTTTACCGGTTTACACATGTGATTGTTTCACTCTATTTGCTTTTCGTTTGTATACACAATGAAAAATTACTTAGTTATTGTTAAGTACATTTATTGTTACTTATTATTTTGTAGACTATTGAAAGTTCGTATCTTGGTGATCCAATAATCTCGAAAGATGCACGATGTTTCAATATTGTTTTCCTTCCAGTTAACAATAGTAGTGAACAAGTAGGAACAACACAGAGTGGAATTGTTAATGTAACCATTACTGGTGTTCAAGCCAATGTAAATATAGAATTAGTTTCTATTAATGCTTCATCAATTAATGAATCCATATTCTATAACATTTTAGTCAATGGCTATAATCAACTGAACAAAACATTGAATATATTTGTTATGGATATCGAGATATATCGTGAGTGATACTATTTTTTCTGATCGTACTTGTAAACTGGTATGTAGTCTGTAATGAATAAAGTTCCCTTGGTGTTATTTTGCTTGTATCTTCCCATTGTTATTTAGGACTGTAACTGATCAATCACATGTTGGCATATGTGCATCCTGTGCGGAATGCCTCGATATAACCTTACAAACCTATGCCTAAGATCCTTACACAAGCATCAAAACAGTAATACACGTAACAAAATTCCAGGAGTTTAAAGACATGGATACTATTAAAACGTAGTATAGATTGAGACCATTGAAACACAATATTTGATCCAATACATTCAGAACATTATATTCCTTGTAAATCAACCGTCATTTTTTAATCTGCATGTTGATCAGACAACAAATGGCTGGATAATTTAAATGTGACTTTAGGATTCCCTTACAAATTCAGTGGAAGTTAGGAATCTACATATTAAATGACAATTCAAATAAGTTAGTTCTCATATTTAGTCAGTTATCAAAAATGGAGAAATTCGTACGTACGTACATAAGTTCATGATGCATTAGTATTTCACCACAGATGTACGATTGTCTATGTACATCACACACAAGTAAAGACAGTAAAAGTATGGATAGTAATTTTAAAGATTAGGGTTTTCAGAGAATACACAAAGAGGATAAAATAAGAAACAAATTCACGAAAAGAAATACAGCAAAAAAGAGAAAAATGAAAAGGCATACGAAAAAAACATCAATACAAAATAAACTGAAAGAAATCACCACAAAGAAAGGACTAAACAAAGAGAAAAAAGAAAAGTGAAGAACACAAAGAAAATTAAGATTAAAATTGGATTAGAATCAGAAAATAAACAAGAGTAAAAAAAAGAGACACAAATGAAAATACCCAAAAAACGTAAGAAAAACAAATACACCAAAATAATAAAATTATTACACAAAAAAGAAAAAATGTAAACGGTTTATATTCATACACACATTAGGTATCGCATCGGATCACACAACCGAGTCATCATCCAGTTCGCAGAGCACTACGCACATTCCGTCCGAAGTGTCCAGTCAACCACCTGGATCCACAACATCATCTACTCCAACTGAACCACACACCGATTCATCAGTCGTCACTAGTGAGTTCAATCGATAATTTGCTGCATTCCATGATGTATTTGTGCTGTGATTTCACACTTGTGTAATTAATGCTCATCATTCATTGCACTTGTAGATTTGGTCTGTTGAGAATTTGTGTACAAGTGTGCATGCATTGTGTGTGATTGTCCGTGTGTGCAGCATGCTTGATTTAGACTGTGAGAGAGATGGAGTGTGAATATTTTGACAATTTGTGGGTAGATTTCGGTTGGGTAGAGTGAGTGAGACAGTGGCAATCAGTCGGACGATATGCGTTGTGTATTGAAGTGTATTGGTCGGTGGTTGAACAGTGGTCGATCAAGTGAGATGTGGAGGTGTTAATGGTGAGTTCACCAGTCTGCGTCATATCAACAATATGACCTCTCAACACTGACCTCATTCACTTGGTCACATCGTGCTGAGACAATTTGAGTACACTCGTGTTGTGTACGTGAACACGAACACCAAAACCAACACCAACACTAACACAAACAAACACCAACACGAACATCTCCACTCACGTGCATGTGAACACGTGTTCTCACTGAAATCCAATGTATCATCAGACGAATGACGAACGAGTGGTTGACTGAACAAATGTATGCAGTGAGAGACGTGTTCCTTACAATCTGATGTGGTGTGATGCTGCGACACGTGTTGTGTGCATGCACAATTGGAAGAGGATGTCACTTCAGTGTGTGTGTGTGTGTGGTTGCGTGTGTGTGGTTGCGAGTGTGTGTGTGTGTGTGTCTGATTGCGAGTGTTTTTCAAAATGTTAGTGTTCTTGAGATGACCAGTGGGATGGAAATGTGTGCACCTCCTGCATTTGCTCACACAATATTAACCACATGTTCAATGTGAACTGTTTGTTTGCATACACACATTAGGTATCGCATCGGATCACACAACCGAGTCATCATCCAGTTCGCAGAGCACTACGCACATTCCGTCCGAAGTGTCCAGTCAACCACCTGGATCCACAACATCATCTACTCCAACTGAACCACACACCGATTCATCAGTCGTCACTAGTGAGTTCAATCGATAATTTGCTGCATTCCATGATGTATTTGTGCTGTGATTTCACACTTGTGTAATTAATGCTCATCATTCATTGCACTTGTAGATTTGGTCTGTTGAGAATTTGTGTACAAGTGTGCATGCATTGTGTGTGATTGTCCGTGTGTGCAGCATGCTTGATTTAGACTGTGAGAGAGATGGAGTGTGAATATTTTGACAATTTGTGGGTAGATTTCGGTTGGGTAGAGTGAGTGAGACAGTGGCAATCAGTCGGACGATATGCGTTGTGTATTGAAGTGTATTGGTCGGTGGTTGAACAGTGGTCGATCAAGTGAGATGTGGAGGTGTTAATGGTGAGTTCACCAGTCTGCGTCATATCAACAATATGACCTCTCAACACTGACCTCATTCACTTGGTCACATCGTGCCGAGACAATTTGAGTACACTCGTGTTGTGTACGTGAACACGAACACCAAAACCAACACCAACACTAACACAAACAAACACCAACACGAACATCTCCACTCACGTGCATGTGAACACGTGTTCTCACTGAAATCCAATGTATCATCAGACGAATGACGAACGAGTGGTTGACTGAACAAATGTATGCAGTGAGAGACGTGTTCCTTACAATCTGATGTGGTGTGATGCTGCGACACGTGTTGTGTGCATGCACAATTGGAAGAGGATGTCACTTCAGTGTGTGTGTGTGTGTGTGGTTGCGTGTGTGTGGTTGCGTGTGTGTGTGTGTGTGTGTCTGATTGCGAGTGTTTTTCAAAATGTGAGTGTTCTTAAGATGACCAGTGGGATGGAAATGTGTGCACCTCCTGCATTTGCTCACACAATATTAACCACATGTTCAATGTGAACTGTTTGTTTGCATACACACATTAGGTATCGCATCGGATCACACAACCGAGTCATCATCCAGTTCGCAGAGCACTACGCACATTCCGTCCGAAGTGTCCAGTCAACCACCTGGATCCACAACATCATCTACTCCAACTGAACCACACACCGATTCATCAGTCGTCACTAGTGAGTTCAATCGATAATTTGCTGCATTCCATGATGTATTTGTGCTGTGATTTCACACTTGTGTAATTAATGCTCATCATTCATTGCACTTGTAGATTTGGTCTGTTGAGAATTTGTGTACAAGTGTGCATGCATTGTGTGTGATTGTCCGTGTGTGCAGCATGCTTGATTTAGACTGTGAGAGAGATGGAGTGTGAATATTTTGACAATTTGTGGGTAGATTTCGGTTGGGTAGAGTGAGTGAGACAGTGGCAATCAGTCGGACGATATGCGTTGTGTATTGAAGTGTATTGGTCGGTGGTTGAACAGTGGTCGATCAAGTGAGATGTGGAGGTGTTAATGGTGAGTTCACCAGTCTGCGTCATATCAACAATATGACCTCTAAACACTGACCTCATTCACTTGGTCACATCGTGCCGAGACAATTTGAGTACACTCGTGTTGTGTACGTGAACACGAACACCAAAACCAACACCAACACTAACACAAACAAACACCAACACGAACATCTCCACTCACGTGCATGTGAACACGTGTTCTCACTGAAATCCAATGTATCATCAGACGAATGACGAACGAGTGGTTGACTGAACAAATGTATGCAGTGAGAGACGTGTTCCTTACAATCTGATGTGGTGTGATGCTGCGACACGTGTTGTGTGCATGCACAATTGGAAGAGGATGTCACTTCAGTGTGTGTGTGTGTGGTTGCGTGTGTGTGTGTGTGTGTCTGATTGCGAGTGTTTTTCAAAATGTGAGTGTTCTTGAGATGACCAGTGGGATGGAAATGTGTGCACCTCCTGCATTTGCTCACACAATATTAACCACATGTTCAATGTGAACTGTTTGTTTGCATACACACATTAGGTATCGCATCGGATCACACAACCGAGTCATCATCCAGTTCGCAGAGCACTACGCACATTCCGTCCGAAGTGTCCAGTCAACCACCTGGATCCACAACATCATCTACTCCAACTGAACCACACACCGATTCATCAGTCGTCACTAGTGAGTTCAATCGATAATTTGCTGCATTCCATGATGTATTTGTGCTGTGATTTCACACTTGTGTAATTAATGCTCATCATTCATTGCACTTGTAGATTTGGTCTGTTGAGAATTTGTGTACAAGTGTGCATGCATTGTGTGTGATTGTCCGTGTGTGCAGCATGCTTGATTTAGACTGTGAGAGAGATGGAGTGTGAATATTTTGACAATTTGTGGGTAGATTTCGGTTGGGTAGAGTGAGTGAGACAGTGGCAATCAGTCGGACGATATGCGTTGTGTATTGAAGTGTATTGGTCGGTGGTTGAACAGTGGTCGATCAAGTGAGATGTGGAGGTGTTAATGGTGAGTTCACCAGTCTGCGTCATATCAACAATATGACCTCTCAACACTGACCTCATTCACTTGGTCACATCGTGCCGAGACAATTTGAGTACACTCGTGTTGTGTACGTGAACACGAACACCAAAACCAACACCAACACTAACACAAACAAACACCAACACGAACATCTCCACTCACGTGCATGTGAACACGTGTTCTCACTGAAATCCAATGTATCATCAGACGAATGACGAACGAGTGGTTGACTGAACAAATGTATGCAGTGAGAGACGTGTTCCTTACAATCTGATGTGGTGTGATGCTGCGACACGTGTTGTGTGCATGCACAATTGGAAGAGGATGTCACTTCAGTGTGTGTGTGTGTGTGTCTGATTGCGAGTGTTTTTCAAAATGTGAGTGTTCTTAAGATGACCAGTGGGATGGAAATGTGTGCACCTCCTGCATTTGCTCACACAATATTAACCACATGTTCAATGTG